TAAATCACAGAACAATCAACCTCAAGAATCATCTGAGACTAGCTGAACAGAACCCCTATAACTAAGGATACAAAGAAGAGGCCGTGACGGCCGGCCAAGTGGTTCAGTTGGTTAAGAGCGCGAGCTCTGAGCAACAGAGTCACCGGTTGGATTCCCACATGGGCCAGTGAGCTGCACCCAAGCTGATCTGCCGCTGAGCTGCCAACAGGTGGCAGGATGGCTCAGCTGGTGAAAGCACATGCTCCTAACAACAAGGTTGCCAGTTCGACTCCCGCATGGAATGGTGGGCTACACCCACCCGCAACTAATATTGAACATGGCACCTTGAGCTGAGCAGCTGTGAGCTACTGATGGGCAGCCGGATGGCGACTGGNAGGGGAGCCAGGAATTATGGATGAAGACCAAATATATATGAAAAGTATGTTTTTGATCATCTGAATGACCAAATAGATTTTTATAAATCACAATATCGCATACATTGAGCATGTGCCATGTCAAGCACTGCACTGGAGGCCTGGTGCCAGGATGAATGAGAGCCAAGAAAACTATGAAGAACCTGGGCCCCAGAGAGGGTGACCCCCAGAAGCAAGGCTGCTATAGCTAATTTATGTATTGGAGATGTAATCACAACCATTGATGGGGAAAATACCAGCAATATGACACAGTGGAAGCTCAGAACAAAATCAAGGGCTGCATAGACCACATGACTCTCACAGTAGCCAGATCTGAACATAAAGTCTGGTCTCCTCTGGTGACAGAAAAAGGGAAACATCATCCATACAAGATGAACTTTGCCTCTGAACCACAAGAGGTCTTGCACATAGGAAGCACCCACAATCGGAGTGCCATGCCCTTCACCGCCTTGCCTGCCCCAAGCTCTGTTCCCAGGGTCATCACAAACCAGTACAATGACTCCACTGGCCTCTACTCCTCTGAAAACATCTCCAATTCAACAGCACTTTGGAGTCAAAGGCAGCAGCCAGTGAACCAGGGACAAATGGCAGTCTTAGAGGATTCTCAGCCTCCAAGTGGACTGTCATTGACAAGAAATCTGAAGTTTACAAGATGCTGCAGGAGAAACAGGAGTTAAATTGAGCCCCAGAAACAGTCCACTTCATTCCTAGTTTTACAGGAAATCCTGGAGTCTGAGGACACAGGGGATCCCAACAAGGCCTCAGGATTCATAAGTGTTAAGGCTGCAGCCACCAAAGTGGCTGCATCTATTGGAAATGCCCAGAAGTTGCCCACGTGTGACAATGTGGCACCAGCATTGTTGGTGTGTTTATGAAGCTGCTGGACCGTCACCACCACCCTGAGTGGTATGTGTGCACCGACTGTGGCACAAACCGGAAACAGAAGGACCATTTCTTTGTGGAAGGTCAAATCTACTGTGAAAAGCACGCCCAAGGGTGGGTCATGGTCACGCCACCCGATGGCTACAACGTGGTCACTGTGTTCCCAGAGTGAACCAGCAGATCTGCATGAACACTCTCCAGCCAGCCCCCATTGTAACTTGTTTTCTAAATGCTCTGGCCCTCTCCTCCTGGCATTTCTTGCTTACTTTGGTTTTACCCCTGCTCATGAAACGTTGCTTCCCCCGCCTTTGCTAACTGACTCGCACTGCTGTGTGATGCCTAATGGAAGATTGTTCTATTCAGTGTCCCCACCCAGCGTCACGGTGTCTTCTCACCTCAGTTCATCTCTCCTGCAAATGCAAATGGACGTCAGCCAAATTTGAACCAAAGTGAATTTAATGTGTCTGATATTGATTTTGTTTTTACTCAACAAATTTATAGACTAAAGAAAAACAAGAGTTGAAAACAAGTGTTCAAACAAAAATTTGTACACAAATGTTCACAGGGCCACTATTCACAATAGCCAAAAAGTGGAAATAACCAAAAGTCCATCAACTGGTGACTGAATAAACAAAATGTTGTATATCCGTACAATGGAAATTACTCAGCTATAAAAAAGGAAGCACTGATGTGTGCTACACCACAGATGAACCTTGAAAACATTATGCTAAGTGAAAATCTGTGACTCAAAGGCCACATTGTATATGATTCCATTTCGATGAAGTGTCCAGAAGAGGGAAATACATAGGACACAGAGCAGACCAATGGCTGCCAGAGGCTGGGGAAAGAAGGAAGGAAGGACTGCTTAATGGATCTAGGGTTTCTTTTTGAAGAGATGAAAAAGTTCTAGAACTAAATAATGGTGATGGTTGCACAACATAATGAATGTACTTAAAGATACTGAACTGTACACTTTAAAACGGTTAATAAATTTTATATGTAGTTCTATCACAATAAAAAAATGAACAGATAAATAAAAGCTTAAAAAAATCTAGAACTATTATAGATTCTGAATAAAAATGGAAGATTAAATACATATTTAATTTCATTCCTTCTCAAAATTGTGCTAAAATACTAATAAGGTATTTTTAAGGCACAAACAAAAGTTTGAAGGCTAGAAATCATATGGTAACAGAAGATCTAAGAAAGCTAAATTGTAAACCAGCAATGTCAAAAGCCAAAACCAACCCAACTTAGTCCACAGAATTCTCAAAAGGCTCAGGAACTGGTAACAGATAGAGCCTCCAGAAACGGGTAAACAGAGCACTAAATTAGGAAGGTTGACCAAAACCTCTTTAAGAAATGGCTTAATTTCTCAGTCTCTTTCATTCCATTTGGTTGGCTTACTATGCTTCTGTCAACAAGCAAAATGAGGATTATTCTCTGAAGAGGATTTCTGAACAGAGGTACACAAAGCACATCGGGGGGAGAAGGACTTAATGAAACCAGGGGGATTAAGTAAACATATATGTACTTCCCTCACTCAGCTCCCAGAGAACCAGCTTTGACACACCAGGCAGGAGACTAAAAGGCTCTTCTTTTTTTGGAAAGAGAAAGGAAATGAGAAGCGGATAACAGGGGCTTCCAATTAAATGTCAATTCCAGGTCACCTTACAGTGAACTCATAGTCCACGAGTACCAATGATGTACTCAGAGCTTCCAGTAACTTTTAGGGCCACACCTATAGGCAGCTAAGGTTCACCACTCATCTGAGGAAGGCCTCTATCAGAAAGCAAAGGAAACAAATAGGAAAAAAAGAACTTAGAGGAAACATGGACAATGTACGGAGAAGAAAATTTTAAGTTAAAAAAATTTTTTAACCCTATCATTAATATCCTTGGAGAAGAGCAATATTCCATCTATGAAAAAAAAAAGTATTCTTTTTAAAAGAGCCCTTGAAAATTAAACTTAAGTAAATTTATCAGAAAAAAATAAAGAATAAAATAGATGATATTAAGAAATTGAAGGTCTAGTCAAAATAATTCAATATCTCTACAACAGAGGAGAAAAATCAATGAATTAAGGAAAA